GAGCGGCTCTGACTTTGTCCACTCGCATGAGAGTTCCTCGGGCCAGGTACACTACCTGCACTCTGTGGGGCTTTACTGCACTCTTGATTTCCTGGATCACGATTAGTTTCTCGTTTAGCTCCTCCATCTTCACTTTCAGACGAAGTGCGCGACCTACTCTTCTGAGTTTCAGGGTACTTACGTTTATTTGCCCATTTATCAAAATTCTTCTCACCCCAGATTCTTCTGGGTCTTTCATAATTTCTTCCTCCCCAGACTCCACTGGATCTGCCATTGCTGCATCTCGCCTCGCTTCTCACTCTGTTCTCCCTCAAGCTCTTGTATGCTTCAGTAATCATATCCGCCCTATCTGCGGCATCTTTCACCTCCTTTATAACTGCTTCTTGGATCTTGAACTTTGTTTCGGGAAGCATCATCTCCAAGAACTTCTCCATGACCATCAGTTGCTTCAGGTCAGCGTAAGATCCAACTCCAGCAGCCTCAATCCACTTCTGGAATCGTCTTTCCAGATCCCTTGCTGTCTCAGCAAAAGTACATGCTCCAACCTTCACCATCTCTCTGAAGCACTTCCTATAAGCTTCTAGGGTTAGCTGAAACGAGCGCAGTATGCTGCTCTTTACTGTGGCATAATCCTGGCACTCTTCCAGTGACAATTGGGTGTATGCCTCCCTGGCTGCACCGGTCAATCTTAACTGGACCAGCTGGGCCCATTCCTCCTGTGGCCACTCCTTGATGCTGGCTACCTTTTCGAAGTGCTCGAAAAAGCTCTCTGCCTCTTCGGGAACAAACAAGGGAATGTCCTTCTCCCTAACCCTAACATCTGGTGAGTGTGATACCTGGGTGGTGCTCTCTGGCAACCCATGTTCAATCCTTTGTTCAGCCAAGGTTCTGTTCGCTGCTATCTGCATTTGTTTTGTTCTCTCTTTTTCTTTTTCGACCTGGGCTTTTTCTTTCTCTTTTTCTTGTTCCACCTCCAGTTCTCTTATTCTGGTTTTCTCTTTTTCCTTTTCCAACTCTAGTCTTGCTTTCTCTTTTTCTACCTCCAGCCTGGTCTTCTCTTTTTCTACTTCCAGCCTGGTCTTCTCTTTTTCTTTCTCGGCTTCATTTTTCATCTGGAGTTCTAGTTTCATCTTTTCCAGCTGGAACTGTCTCTCCACACGCTGCATCTGGAGCTCTAACTGGAACCTTTCCAAGCTCCTATTCCGGCTACTCCTGCTACTGCGGCTACTCTTGCTGCTCCTACTCGATCCCTGGGATCTCACTTCATCCTGCTCATCATTCTCCTTTCCACTTTCAGCTCCTTTTTGGGCTCCTTGCTCTGTCGCTTCACTTTTGGCTCTTAACTGCCTCAGGATCTCATCCTTCATCCCAACTACTTTAGATGCTTTCAACCTAATGCCACATTTTTCTGCTATTTGTTTCAATTGATCCCTCGTGCAACCTTCCAAGTCCTCAGGCTTGCTTGACTCCACAAACACTTGCACCTTATCCATCTTGTCCTGTGAGTCTTCCCAAGAGAGAGAATATACACCTGCGGTCACACAGTTTATCTATTTCAACAAGGGGTGTACAAATCTACTCTTGGACAGGGTGTGGGTGTGTCAGTTCACTCTCCCGGACAGGCCTCCAATTTATTATAGTATTGTGGGTTGGTGGTGTTGTGTCGTTGATCCTTCTTTCTGGACAACCCAACCCACAACTCGGTAGAGTGCTTATACTTTACCAGATCACCCTGGGCGCTTCTGGCTCTTGGAGAGGGGCTCAACATCACACATTTAGGGGATGCGGCTCCAATACTTAGCCTCGTTGTCATGTGCACACACCCACTCGAGCCGCTGTTACTCCCCACTCTCTCCTTATGTGATATGATCTCCTCAATCCCCTTTGACTTACTAGTTTTCCGTCCTACCCTGTCCACAGCGGTGGTTCTTGGTTCTTTCTCTCTCTCTCTCTCTCCTTCTTTACTATTTCCTGGGAAGCCTCACTAGGACAAGGACAAACACCAGCAAATTTGAAAATATTTACTGGACAAAGCACATACACAATACATACACACCTATAATAATAATGAATCCTACACTCTATAATATTTCAGTCAGGTTGCACTCCAACACCATCAGAACTCTATCATCAGCTTATCAAGTGGTATCCTATCTCTTAATTCACCACATAATATTACCAACCTCCTCAAGTATGTCAAGTCTTATAATACAATGTTGCACTATCAGCAAGAGAATATATATCTATAAACATGTACATGGAAAATCAGCGTCTGAACGCAATAACATATATATATCAGTATAAATGTTCCTTGATATATAACAATGATCAATCGATCACCCTATCAGTCCTAGAACATATACATCTGTAGGTAATCCAGCCTACGACTGTAATTCTATACTTCAGTATAAACACTCCTGGGTACAAAAATGGCAAATTATCACTCGCCTTTCACTGCGTCTAACACGCTAATGACAAACACTCTATCACCTCCCTACAAGTAATCATTTAGAACTTCTCTTCCACCTCTGGAAGTTCACTACCATGATCTCTTCAGGTTCTTCCGGGTTTAACTACCAGGATCCTCTGCAGCTCCTTCAGGCTGCTACCATGAAGTTTCCTTGAACAACTATGGTGCTTCACTACTTCTACTAGGGTCCTCCACAGCTCTCCTGGCTGCTACACCATGAAGTTTCCTCGAACAACTATGGTGCTTCACCACCTCTACAGAAGCACGTGACACTCCTCTACACTGCTTCTCCTCACAGCTCGACGTCCTCTCCTCCACTAACTTGGAGTCTCATCAGCTACTCCCTCTGTGCTGGCTTCGAAGTTCTCAGCAACTTCTTCCCCAAAGACAAACCTGCAACCCATTGACACGCCAATAAAAATATTTCCTTATAAGCACATAGACGAAATAATCCACACAATATGTTTGCGACCAACATCTATCTGCTCTCTACATGCTGTGAGAGTGGACTCCCCCATTGGGCTGGTCCATGCTCCGCCTTGCCCGGCGGGCGGCCCTCAACTCTGGGAGGGTCCTCCGCCGCCAGTCAGTTGGCTTCAGGTGGTCGACGGGAGAGGACATGCTGCTCGTCCCTCCAGCTGTCTCTCTCATCTCCGTCCTCTCATTTAGGCTTCCTGCCTTACCAAAACATTTCTAACTTATCAATAAACATTCGCTACTGTTGCTGGGCACACGACCAACTACAAGCAATCACTATGAACTGGCTTAAATCGTGCTTACCACAGATTGTCTGGTCGAGGGCTCTCCTCCCTCTGACAGAGTCTGGTCAGGGCACTCCCACGGCCCACGATAATGTCTCTGGGCGGCTTAATAAACACTCCTCGCCGTCCAGGACTTGAGACCACAACGTCCCCAGCTCGATTCCACCTTACCTTGAGGTTACCTTTAGGAGCTTCCGGGGCTTAGCGTCCCCGCGGCCCGGTCGTCGACCAGGCCTCCTGGTTGCCGGACTGATCAACCAGGCTGTTGGACGCGGCTGCTCGCAGCCTGACGTACGAGTCACAGCCTGGTTGATCAGGTATCCTTTGGAGGTGCTTATCCAGTTCCAGTTCTTATCCATTCCACAGCTGGAATGTCTGCACACTTCTCTTCTCTTGAAGATATATCACCTGGGGTTCCCTTCTGACAGGAGCTCAAACGGAGCGCGGCTTCCCCCTGTGATGTCTGCCACTCAAGTAAGGTTGAAGCCCTCCAGAAGCGAGCCTCACGCCTCCAGCAAAATATCCACATCTCCTAACCAGTCATTTATCTATTTTCTTATTCACTGCCCATAATCTCAAATTGTTCATCATATCCAACCAACTATTTTACATCTGTGTCTTCACCTCTATATCTCCTGGACCTTCTAGTTAGGTCAGGCTTGATAGCTTGATAATTCTCAAAGGGGAGACTCGTTTTTCGGCTACCTAGGATCATAACACTTTGCCTCTTCAAGTCTAGCAGAACTAACTATCAATGTTACGGAGTTAAGATTTGTTGAAAGGAACATTAACGGTGCTTTGATCTGCACTGAATTAAAAGTAGCATTACAAAGCCTAAGTAAAAATCGGACAGAAAACCTTGTGATAGTCGCTGAAATCAAGAGAATTGTGAGGGGTACTACACAATCAGAGAAGATTCGTCAAATTTCTGTGGATCCCCTCCCATGTTGTAATCTGTGGAATTGAATGAGTAGATGTGCTGGCTGCTGAAGGCGTTGAAGAAGACCATATTGAATACTTCATACCCAAGACTCTTCTACAAATTAGACGTATCATCAGGCAACATCACAGTGATAAGGTAACTGAGAAAAGGAGGATAGAAGTACAAACCAGTGAAACTGTACGCTGGTACAACATGGTTGCAGTTGGTAATCCCAATCATTATGGACGAAGAGGTGGTAGCCGCAGGAGAGAATCAGTAATAGCAAGAATTAATTTTGGATAAAAATATCCATGGAGATTCAAGATGGAACTAACAGCTGAGCAGCAGAGTTGCAGAATCTGTGGTGAGAGTGATGGACACCGCCTTGAACACTACATGAGAGAGTGGGAACATCTAAGAGACATTAGAAATATGTGTGTAGCATAGTAAACCCCACATTGTTTGAGTTAGAAAAATATTAACTGTCAAATATAAATGCTGTTCTCAAAAGATTCCCCCATTTTCCACTGACAAGATAACATAATTTTTAAAGGGCTGACAAATGTTAATCTTCTTGTTTGATTACCTGTTCACTTGAGACAGTTAAGCAAGTCCCAGCTGTATCTGGGTACAAGCAACAGCATGCACAACCCAGCAGGTTTTCTTCCTATTGGGGAGTGTTGTACATGCTGCTATGGCGGTGTGTTTGCTCACAGAATGAGCGGTGCTGCCCAATAAACTCACCCCTTGGGGTAAAACTTGTCACAACTTGCTTGATGACTATAGTGTTTTTGACAGCTTTTTTATGTATATTTGATTCTTGTATTAAAATGATCTATTAAACAAAATGTTTCTGAAGTTCACAGAACACATGTGCGGCCACTACAGCTTAACGGTGTTTGAGGTGACAGCAGACAGTCAGGGCAGCAACATAACGCTGACGCAGCTCTCCCTAGTGGTCAGCGAGGCTCGGCAGGTAGGCCACTCACCTTACTGATGACACCTGTAGGTTACTCTCACATTACTGCTAACACTCGTAGGTTACTCATATTATTGTTGACACTGGTAGGTCACTCTCACATCTCTATGGAGACGGGCAGGTCACTCTCACATAACATCTACCTGTTGACGTCAACAGGTGCGGCAAGCGTCGTGGTGCGTGACGGTGGTGGTGGTGAGCGACGACCTCGCCTTCCTCGCCGCCTTCGCCCAGTGGTCCCTCAAGGGCCGCCTCCTGGTGTGGTCGACGAGGCTCCTGGTCGTCACCCGCCTCCACCTCCACTACCTGCAGGGTCTCCACACACTGCTCTCCATGACCAACTCCATGCTGATAATTATTCGTGAATCATTTGTCAGCTTCAGGTATTTCTGATTGTCACATTCCCTTTACAATATAGGTTAGCCTGATTGTTGTTGTTGTTTAGGGAAAGGAAGATTGATGACTAAATACTAATATTATCAGAAATCAAAACAAATATTGTCACGAATACTTTCTGAACCTTTCAATAGATGTAGTGTGTACATGCAGCTGCCGTACAGCCCCAGGGGCGCCCAGGCGCTGAAGGTGGCCTCCTGGACGCCCGAGCAAGGCCTCGCTTTCACCTCCAGCCTCCCGCTCTTCCCCGACAAGTTCTCCAGGTGAGTTTGAAGGGAGAAATGCAAGGAATAACTGATGTAAATACGCGCAAGATCAATTTAGTTTCGCTTTGAGACAGATAATCGATTGTATAACTAAACTGCTTTATAATAAGTATATAAAATATTGGGTGATTATTCAAATGAATATAAATTATGAATATAAATTGTGTTATATGTTTTCATGTTAGAAAAAATATTCAAAAGATAAAATAGAAGTGTAAATATTACAGTAAATACTGAAACATTTAAATTCATAAATTATACTGTTTACAGGCTTACTATGCTGAAGAAAGCCTTGTGTTATTTACTTTGCTTTTAGGTTACTTCAGCGACCGACTCTGAAGTTGGCGACGGAGATAAACCCGCTGAACATCATGATTACCAGGGAGACAGCCAAGACTGGCCAGGGAGGGATGTTACAGTTTGTAGGACCGATGCCGGACCTGGTGTCCTACCTCGCCACAGCTCTCAACTTCTCGTAGGTCACAGTTTGTTGTACTCATGGCAACCTTAGGGGTCGGATTCACCTGCAGTCTGATTTTTATTTAATTTCTGACACTGTATGCTGATCACCAGTTTCCAATGAAATGTCAAACTCTTTGGCAGGAAAATATTAAAGATAAAAGGTTGTAATTGAATGAGCAAAAGCCAGTCTTTGGCTGGCTTTTTACCTCTTTATGCACGATTCAATCTAAAGGGAATCTTGCACTAAGCACATTGATCAATGCCATTCTAATATGCATAGTTTCCTACACATAACACAGATCATATCCACAACTAGTACTGTGGCTTTGGTATTACTATAACAGTTCCACGAAACACAATGTTCCTGAATCCAATTCCAAGAAACAAATTTTATGTACAATAATTTGGGTATTTGGACTCCATCACTGTAGCTAATTTCGGTACATGGGTGTTAACTATCACCATGTTTCATTATTGTGATAGATGACTACTCGATGTTTTCTTTAGCTGTTTGTGCACGAGATTATAGGTCTATATTCCTCAGTCTTCTAACTGAGCTGGTCACCGTAGCATCGAGGAACATCAAGTTTGAACTGGTTAAACATTGTGTGTAAATCAATTAAACACAGAAGTAGTATCTACAGTTTTACTGCTGTATACACTACCTCTTGCGGCAAAGTATTGATAGTAACACCGATGTCTAGGTTGCACTACTGCGCATATAGAAGGTTTCTCAATTCCATGATCACATGCAGCATTTTCTCATACACTTATAAACTGTTACCCAAGTAGTAATATTTTACTTCTGCAGCCTCAGACAGCCAATCCAGCCTAGTGCCTAACACATACTATTTTATTGCCTGTAGTCGTAATGTCTATCATAAAATATAGAAGAATAACACCATCATCAACAATTAAAACATTCATTTACTGAGAGAGAATAATTACGAGTCAAAGAAAGATTACAGCTACTTAAAAAATCTCCAGAAAGATCCCCAGTCCAATATACGGGAATTTATTGGTATAACACACGGTAACTGATGAACCTAGGTCAAATTAATGTATTATAGGTACTGGCATTTTAGTTCATTAAAAACAAAATACAAAAAATATTGATAAATCCTATACACATTACATGATCACTAGAAGGTACTTCTTTATCTACGATGCATTACAGTTTGCATCTTACTAAGGCTCTTTAATGTTTTTTTCACACTGCAGTGGCAAACATAATGGAAGTTGGTGTATTCTGAGCGATATTCTGATTGTAAACGAATCTGCTTTTCTCGGCTCCAGGTACATGTACTTGAGGCCTCCTGATGGATCTTGGGGCATTAAGCGTAACGATGGTACCTGGTCAGGCATGATGGGGATGGTGATCAGGCAGGTGAGTGAAGTCCGCTAGGAAACATTTAACATACAGTAGCAGAAATTCAACTTTTTGCGTTATAATATGCTAAATTTCGATATTTTTTTCAAATAAAAAGGTGAACAAAATATGCAGTAAATTCAAAATATTATCATCTTCTAAATTTGAAGGTCATAAACCCTGAATGGCTTATATATAAATGTACAGAAAATGCTGTTCTGGTATGGAAATGTGTTACAAAATTAGCAGGGGGGAGGGGGGAGGCATCCACATTAGAGAAGGGTTAGGCAAAGTTCAATTATTCCCATTATATCAGTCTGTTGTGGTGTTAGTGTGGTATCATCTCTCTTTGGCTTTGACTGGTTGTCGTGAGGTGCAGTTCACCTCACCTGCTGGTACAGTGGTTGCTCGGCCGGTGTAGCATACGGACCCTGGTGGGTTGGTGATGGGGGGAGGGTCCCATCCCCCCGTTTTGCGGGCTCACTCTGTTGGACTAGAGTTTACAGGAAAGGCTCACTACCCTACAGTGGAGCTGGTTTTGTGTGAAATGGTGCGTGTCGACGTGGGTATTATCTATGGTGTGGAGGTCGTCTCGTCTCATCAGGCTGTGGTGAAATTTGCTACCGCAGAGGATTACCGGGTGTTTTTACGCCACTATCAGGGGCAGTCCTTTCAACTGCCGGATGCTGCTGGTGCAGTAGTCATCTCTGACCGGAGTGGTGCCCTAACCTATGTCAGTGTTAATCGTGTGCCGCTGGAATTCCCGGAGGGCCTGCTGAGGAGATTCTTTGGGCGGTTTGGTGCTGTTGTGAGTGAGGTTGAATGTGAGTTCCTCCGGGAAGCTCCAGGGCGTACGGACTAGTATCCGCACCCTGGGGATACAGCTCCGTGAGGACATCCCCTCTTCCATGAAGCTTATGGGATATTATATCCTTGTGTACTATGCACTGCAGCCACGCACGTGCTTCCACTGTGGGTTGGCGGGGACTCCTGCCAACCTGGCGGGGTTGGCGGGGACTCCTGTTGGATGCTCGGCGGATGTCGTCGAGCGAGAGAATCTCTTTTGTGAGGAGGATATCTCGCTGCTATTTGATAATGAGAGTCCGGTGCATGAGGGCTGAGCAAGTGCACGGGGATGTCATGCCTTGCCAGGTATTGGTTGGCGAGCCTGCTTCTGATGAGGTTCGGGCGCAGGATTATGCGCTGTGGCCTGATGTATGTTCGGCAGCTGGTGTGCTGCTGCTGTGGATCGGCCGGTGGCTTTCTCTCCATCTCCATCGTCTGTGCCTTGTCCTGTGGTTCTTGTCTCCGAGTCCCCAAAGCTTTCACCGCCCGTGCTGGGAGGTGGTGTGGAGTCGGGGCTTCGTGCTGAACTGGGGCCGACCCCCCCCCCCCCCCCATGTCGTTGCAGCTGCTGCGGTCTTGCACCGTGTGAAAGTTCGCCCTCCCTGTGCTTCCCATACTTCTAATTCTGCCTCCAGCTCTGACGACGTCTGGAAGGATCCCAAGCGTTCGCGGTGTTCCTCTCCTTCTGCCTAGGCAGATGTGGGGGTCTTTGATGATTGCGGATCTGCAGTTTTTGGGACTGCAGAGCCCACTGTGACGGTGGTGGCGGAAGTTCACGTACCTGGTGCTGGCGCTGATGCGGGTGGCTCTGTGTCTTCCCCTGCGGTGGGTGGTCCCTCCTCCTGTGGCAGATCATGCAGCCCGGGGACCTTGTGGTGGTCCTTAAGAAGGATGCACACCATAGGGGATCTGTGCCTATCCCGGACCCGTGGATGATGTGCATGATGCGTCCCCTGTGGTGTTGCCCCCCTGTGGTGCCGCCTCCCGTTTTTCTGTCCCCTTTGGGAGTGAGGTTGCGTCGTCGGGAGGTGCCGTGCCTGGTACTGTTGACCTGATACCCTGTCTGTGGATTCGGGTGAAGCCAGTCCCTGCGTGCTCCTGTACCATTTGAATCCCAAGCGAGTGTGCTTTTATGTCCAATGTTCCAGATTATATGTTGTGCCCACATGAACCTGTTCATCTGGATAAGTGGCTCCTTTTGTTGTCCCTTCAAACCTGTAGTTTTGTACCTATGTCTTGGTATTGTCCTGTGTTTTTTGTATCTTATGTATTTTGTGTGTTTTAATTGTCCTGTGCTGTGTTTGTGTGTCCGTGCTGAAAACTGGAAAACTGGAAAAATTATTTCTAGTTTGTACATTGCTCTGTTTACGTGTCTGTAATGAACTGTGTTCTGTAATGTGTTGGGTGCATATTTTTTTATGCTCAGGTGTTTGGGTGCAGAGGCGTTTCTATGAAATTTGTTTTACTGCACTTCTTTCACATGCTCTGTGTGTAAATATAAATAAAAAAAACTCTTTGACTTTAGACTCACCACATTCACACTGAGTAAAACATTTAGTCTGCTATGCTTGCCTTCTTATTCCACATCAGCGACTTTATCTGGTTGTATCATGTTCCTTATGTGTATAATGTAGTTCTTTTATGTCAAACTTGCAGGAAGTAGATGTAGCAGTTGGCTTCTTTGGTATTAGTGGAGTCCGCGCTGAGGTGGTGGACTTTACGGAGCCAATTGTAATAGAACACATTAGGATACTGGGAGCCCGAGGTCGGCCGGAGGTGGACCCGTGGGGCTTTGTGTTCCCTCTGGAGCCGCTGGTGTGGACGGCCATCCTGGCGACGCTTCTGATACTGCCTCTGTTGGTGTTCCTCCTGTCTTCATGCGTCTCATTCCGGACAGTTCGTCAAAATAACTTTCTGGCAACATTCGCTTACCTCCGTATTTTGTTGAATCAGAGTGAGCAGAAATTGTTATAAAACAAAATATTAGATATTGGTTATGTTTTAGATAATATACTGAGAATTTTATTTTTATTGTTGTGTTTATAGTGAATTTAATTAAACTAACAAGCAGGTTAGTAAACTCATCAAATGCCAAATTGCCAAACTACAGGTCGGCATAAATTGCATTCGAACACTGAACGTTCATCAATACCTTTATATATTATTATAATTTTGTGGTTATGATAAGAAGACTATCATTAACAGTGTGTTTTTGATGTTTATATCGTCATAGAAATTACATTTCCTTAATACGAGATACTCACGACGCACCCCTAGGAGGCCCCGACAAGATCGGCGATAGCTTCTTGTTGGGTGTCCTGCCTCTAATTGTGGCTCCATGGTGGGTGTGGGGGCACATTCGTGAATGAATTCTTCTTTTCGTCAAGATGATAACCCCTGTTTCGGCTGCTTCTGGTTTACCTTCTCAGGCTCGTGGGGTGGGCGACCAAGCCCCCAAGTCGGTCCGTATTGGAAGACCGGGCTCTTTAGCCTCCGCTGCATTGGGCCCCGACCTTGCTCCTCCTTTGGCCTCTCTGACTCCTTCCCCTGGCTCCCCTCCCTCCTCTGTGGTTGGGTCGAGCCCCAAGCCCCCAGTGGTGACTACCACGTCCCCTGGCGCGGCTCCTTCTCTAGTTGTAACTACTGCGCCTTTCAACCCCTCTCTCTCTGGGGGTTCTCACCGCCGTCCTCGTCACGGCCGCCCTCGCTCGATTCCTTCCAGTTCTGCTACCTATCAAGCCTTGTTTGGTCCCGCTTCGTGGGCCAAATATTTTGATCTCCTCCTTCTTGATTCTGCGCCTCCTGACGATTTCTCCCTCCATCGACATCTCATTGATTCCGTGGATGCCTCCATTACTTTCAACCCCACTCGTCTCGGTACACGTGTCGTTGCTGCTCCTTCTCAGGATGCTGCTTCCCGCTTGGCTGCCTTATCCTGCCTTGGCGAGATCCCCGTTCGGGTCTCGAAGAACGCTCAGTTGAATGCCAGTGTTGGCACTATTTTGCTCCTGCCCCATGTTGCGACCGGTGTTCGGGACCTGCGCGACTGCCACGACGATATTCGACATATCCTCGCTGCCCAGGGCCATTCTATTCTCCAGGTGGACACGTTTACTCGTCCCCCTCGTGGTAGTCGCCGTCAACCCCTCCGGGTTGTGAAGATTACCTTTGATGGTAGGACCCTTCCACCCTCTGTCATTCTTGCTGGTGCCAGGTGCTCTGTCCAGGAGTACATTCCTTCTCCTCGGCTCTGCAACAAGTGCTGGAGGTTTGGGCATGGTGCCCTCCACTGCTCCGGGACTGTCTCTCTCTGTCCTTTGTGTGGTGGCGAAGGTCACTCTAAGTTGGAGTGCACTTCTCCCCAGGCTCGTTGCCTCAACTGCGGTGAGGCCCATCCTACCTTCTCCCGTGCGTGTGTCCATTACAAGCTTGAGGCAGCCGTCCTCAACTTGAAGCACCGGGAGCGTTTATCTTTTCCTGAGGCGAGGCGCCAGGTTCGCCGGCTCCCGCCTTATGCTAATATCTCTTATGCTCACGTGTTGCGCTCTTCCTCTCCTCGTCTTTCCCGCCTTCCTCAGACTCACAACCGTTTCCGGGCCTTGGACCCTGATGCGCCCACTGCCCCCTCCTCTGTTCCTTTGGGTTCTCTCCCGAAGGATCCTCCTCCTGGTCCTCTGTCTGGGGTTCCCCTTCCTTCTACCCGGTCTGTCGTGTCTTCTGTGTCTTCTTCCTCGTCCCCCTTCGATCCTCCTTCCCATCCTCTTCCTCCATCTATCGGCTCTCCCCGCCGCCTGTCGGTGCGGGCTGATGTCCATCGCTCTCCTAACGGCCGTCGTGTGTGCTCTCGTTCGGCTTCTCCTGTTGAGACACTGGAATCCGTTGCCCGGTACGTAGTTGCTGGGACACCGGTCTCTTTAAGTCAGAAGCGTAAGCCTGGCTCCTCTCCTTCCTCTTCCCCGGCGGGTAAGAAGGCTTCGCTTTCTTCCTCAGCTCCTCCTTCTGGCTCTGTTGCTCCTTCCCCTCCCGTTTCAATGCTTGCGCCCCCTGTTCCTGCTATGGAGGTTTCTTTGGCCCCTGCTTCCCTTTCGGGTTGCTGATCTTGCTGGGGTGCGCTCCCCTCTTTCTACTCCCCCTCTTCCTACTGCTGTCCTTGACTGCTCCTCTCCCTCCTCCTCCTCCTCCTCCTCCGGACCCTGCCCGTCCACCTCTGATCTGTTCTCCCGTTTCCTTCCCTCCGTCTTTGCTCAGTTAACCCATGCCCCCTAACCCTGACTTTGCTAACCCTGATCCCGACCCAGATATTCTTTAACGTGCTCTGTTGCTCTTTCGCCTTTGTTTCTTCCTTGTTCTCTGTTTTTGTCCTTTCTCTTCTCGTCGTTGTCCATTCTTCAATGGAACGTTCGAGGTTATTACACCAATTTCCTCGAACTCCAACTTCTGATTTCGCGGTTTTCGCCCCTTTGTGTCTGTCTCCAGGAGCCAATGCTTGGTGTTCGTCCTGGTCGTTTTCGTGGCTATTCCTTTCTCTCCCCCCCCCCCCCAGCCATTGCTGGGGCTTCTAATTCTTCTGCTCTCTTGATTCGGGCTGATGTTCCCTTTGTTCCTTTACTTTTTCCTTCGCCTCTCCATTGTTCTGCTGCTCGTATCTTTGTTGGGAAATGGTACACAGTTTGTTCCATTTATCTCCCCCCGAGTGTCCCGCTCTCTCTTCCTGATTTGAAACACCTCCTGGACTCCTTGCTGGAGCCTGTGCTCCTGCTGGGTGACTTCATTTGTCGTCATTCTCTTTGGGGTGACGTTCTGACGAATACCCGGGGTCGCCTCCTTGAGCCGTTTCTCCTCTCTTCTTCCCTGTCTCTTCTGAATTCTGGTGAGCCCACTCATTTGGACTCTCGGACTCGCACCCTTTCTTGTCTTGATCTTTCTCTCTGCTCTTCTTCTCTTTACTTAGATTTCACGTGGCAGGTTCTTGATGACCTCCATGGAAGTGATCATTTCCCCATCCTTGTTTCCTTTTTCTCTTTTCGCCCTTCCCTCTCTTTCCCTAGGTGGCAGTTTGCTAAGGCAGACTGGTCCCTATTTACCCTCAGTGCTGCTCTCTCTGACCTCTCCCTTCTGCCTCTCTCTCGCGCTCTCCTCCTTTTTCATGACACTGTCTTCAACGCTGCCCTCCACTCTATTCCTCGCTCTTCCTCTCGGGGTCCACGGAAGTGCGTTCCCTGGTGGAATGCGAACTGTGCTCGGGCTGTCCGCTGTAAGCGTGCAGCCTGGAAGAGGCACCGCCGTAGGCAGACGACCGATTCTTTTCTTTTCTTTCGGAAAGCGAGTGCGGTGGCCCGTAGGGCCATCCGTACGGCTAAACGTGAATGTTGGTCATCTTATGTCTCAACAATTACGTCCGAAACCCCTCTGGCCCAGATCTGGAAGCATATCCGCAATATAGCGGGTAAGTTCGTTCCCGATGTTTCACCGGTCCTTCACCTCCATGATACTCTTGTGGCGGACCCGTTGCAGGTCGCTTCCGAACTGGGTTCCCACTTTTCTTCTGTTAGCTCTGGTCTTCATCTTCCCCAATCTTTCCTTCTTCGTAAACCTGTCCTTGAGTCTCGTCCTTTAGATTTCTGCACTCATCTTCAGCTTCCCTATAATGATCCCTTCTCTCTCTCTCTGAACTTCGTTCTGCCCTGGCTCTCTGCGGTTCTACGGCGGCGGGCTCCGATGGTATTCATTATGAGATGCTTCGCCATCTCCCTCCGAGCACGTCTCAGTATTTACTGAGTCTGTATAATCGGATCTGGGAGTCGTCGTCAGTCCCTGAGGACTGGCTCGATGCCGTTGTCCTCCCTGTTCGCAAACCGGGGTCTCTGGGTACTTCCCCTAAGGACTTTCGCCCTATTGCTCTCACAAGTTGTGTCTGCAAACTCTTTGAACGTATGGTTAACGTTCGTCTGATGTGGTTCCTGGAACACCATCACCTCCTCTTCCCTTCTCAATTTGGTTCCGCAAGTGCCGCAGCACGACAGATGTCCTGGTGAACTTGGAGGTCTCTATTCGTACTGCTTTTGCTGCGAAGACCTCCGTTGTTGCCGTCCTTTTGGCCTAGAAAAGGCTTACGACACCACTTGGCGTTATCATATCCTATCTCAACTTCATTCTTTTGGCCTTCGTGGTCATCTCCCTCTCTTCTCCGCAGCTTCCTCTCTCGTCGTTCCTTTCGGGTGCGCCTTGGTACCGCTCTCTCTCCCTCTTTCAGCAATACGAAGGTGTGCCCCAGGGTAGTGTTCTGAGCACTACCCTTTTTCTGGTTGCCCTCAATGGTCTTCTTTCCTCTCTTCCTTCTGGTGTCTTCTCCGCTCTCTATGTCGATGATCTTACCCTTTGTTGACAGGGTGATGATTCGCCTCTCCTTCAACGCCGGCTTCAACTTGCAATTGATGCCGTTTCGTCTTGGGCCACAGGTCATGGCTTCAAGTTCTCTACTTCTAAGATTTGTGCCATGACTTTTACGCGGAAACGGGTTGTTTTTCGTCCCTCTTTGTCACTTTATGGTCATCCCCTTGAATACAAAGATTCCGCGAAGCTTTTGGGGTTATTCCTTGACACTCGTTTGTCTTGGTCTCCCCATATCTCTTACCTCCGTGTTGAGTGCTCTAAGGCCCTTACCCTCCTTCGGGTCTTGTCCCATACTTCTTGGGGGGCAGATAGGCGCACTCTCCTTGCTTTACATTCCTCTCTCGTCCTGTCTAAGCTCGATTATGGTTGCCCTGCTTACTCGTCTGCTTCTCCTTCTACTCTTCGCCGTCTTGATGCTTTGCACCATACTGGGTTGCGCCTCAGTTCTGGTGCCTTTCGTTCGACTCCCATCCTTAGCTTGTATGTTGACACTGGCTTCCTGTCTCTCCAGGACCGCCGTGATCGCTACTGTCTTCGCTATCTTGCGCGGTCCTTGCAACATCCTTCCTCTCGCCTCTGTCGTGCTTTAACTTTTACCCCTCCTGCGGTTCCTGTTCCTCTTCACCACCTCCCTCTTTCTGTCCAGTTATCTCGCCTACAGGATTCTCTTTCCGTTCGTATTTCTGATGTTTCTCCTCGTGTTGTTCCTTCTTTGCCCCCGTGGAGGGTCCCTCTTCCGCGGTTTTGTACATCCTTGACCCGTATCACTAAAGCTTTTATCCCTCCTGCGGTTCTAAAACGCCTTTTCCTCGAGCACTTTTCTTCTCACTCCCGCTCCGTTTCTGTCTTCACCGATGGGTCTAAGTCAGCGGACGGTGTTGGCTACTCTGTTGTTTTTCCTGATCGCACTTATATGTGTCGCTTGCCTCCGGAGACTAAAGAAGCATGGATACTAATTTTAGCTTTACTTATCACCATTCTTTATGTCTCGTAAAGGCATTCCGTATTCCGACTTTTACCCGGTTATCCATTCCTCAGTCCTTACCCGTTGGCAGGCTTCTTGGTTGTCTGTTACTGGTAACAAGCTACGTACTCTTAAATGTTGTGTTTCCTCGTGGCCGTCCTCCTTCCACCGTAACCGGAGGTGGGAAACAGCTCTGGCGAGGTTGCGTATTGGCCATACTCGCTTAACCCATGGTCACTTGATGGAGCGCCGCCCTGCTCCTTATTGTCCTAGTTGCATTGTCCCTCTTACGGTCGTGCATGTCCTTCTTGAATGTCCTGACTTCCAGGACGAGCGTGTGTCTTGCTTTCCGACCGCCCCTCGCGGTCACCTGTCCCTCGATAGAATTCTTGGTGACTCGGATACTTTTGATATCGTTCGCCTTATGCGTTTTTGTTCTCGTATTGGCATCCTTGGTGATATTTAGCGCCCTCTGATTATTTTGCATATTTGATGGTGCTACATAGCCTTCCCGGTTTGGTGCCTTCTTTTGGTAATTACTTACTTACTTAATACGAGATACAAAGAAGCATGGATACTAACTTTAGCTTTACTTGTCACGATTCTTTATCAACGTTGCAAGAATTTCACAACACCCACAATGATCTGGACAACAAACGAAAGATATGAAAGGATAGATAAGGAACCCGTCCTCCTAACTGAACGTCGCATTTTGACATATACTCTAAATTGGCGTACTAGAAAATGGTAGCGGCTCGCGAAATTGACATACTGTCCCGTTTTCTGTTTTCGATCCTCTGGTAGGTTATGATATTGGCACTTTAGCACGACGGTTTCTTGACGTTGGGAAGCTTTAGGAGGACAGGCTGAGATAAGTCCTTTATCTGATGGAATTGTGCAGAACGTCACTCTACTGAGTACATCATCAGGTTGATAATGCAACATTGCCAATTAGATACAATGATAGAATGTTGTTGCTATGATATGTCATGGTACTGGTACTTAAATGATGATATGTTAAATGTTTTTCTGATATAATCTTATGTTGAATTAAATAATTCACAAACCCAAATTACTGGCTGGGAATTTGTGATGAAACTTTTTGAGTAACGCTAAGTTTAATGATAACTTGTTGGCTGCATAAACACTAGATTTAGTCACGACAGTCGCAAAAAGATAATAATTTTTTTACACAAAAAAAAATCTCTCCAATGATTCATGGTGAAGGAACATGCATGTGATGATGTAAAACTTTTGTGTGACTTCTCATGAATTTAATGAGGAAGAAAAATTACAAGATAAATTTCAGAGAATATGAGACTAATAGCTAGCAGGCTGTAGACAATTAATGACATAATATGGTGTGGAGCTGCTGGGTGAAATATAGTTTGTAAATGTATCCAACACACACAGTGAGCTCACGAGCGCTTGATGCAACAAAGACTTGTGCCTGGTTTTCAGAAATAAATTGTCCTACTAACATTCGCACACCTTGTTATAAAAGTCTTGTTTTCTAAGATGATGTTTAGTCTTGTTTCCTGAATGTTCCTTTGATTCATTTGTCCCTCGATAAAGTCCTCGGTGAATTATTTACCTTTGACGACGTCACTCATCTTATGTATTTTTCCTTTCATATTGATCTTCCAGGCTTAGTGCTTTCTGTTGATAATTATATGACAATTTATCCAGAAACTTGCCATAATGCGAGACATTGTGATGAAGGTTGGACACTGTACCAAGGTGAGGATGAGAAGCAATGTTGATGAGACAGCAGTTACGTACCTGCTTGGTGTAGCATTGACGCTGTTACAATGTTAACATGCAATGATTAACATACTGCAGAAGCTGGTGACTTAGGGAATGGAGAGAGAAGTCCGTACAAGGCTGGAATTTTCAGTCTTGCCGAAGCAGGATGATATAAGTCCAAAGGCCAGATGAAGTTGGGATGTGTCTGATAACCCAGACTGTCCTCTTGAGGACATATTTGTCATCACAAAAATGACAAATATGTACGAACCTAACCTAACCGAACACACAAGAATAGAAAGTAGGATGATAATAATAATAATAATAATAATAATAATAATAATAATAATAATAATAATAATAATAATAATAATAATAATAATAATAATTTATTTTCAAGAAGGTACAATGGGTTTGTGTGATTACATAATATTGGCATTTTTACATTCATGCAAAGCCACTAACACGCATGGCATCCCGGGCTGAAAACGGGACAACCCCTCAGTTGTATGAGCCACTCACAAAAGTACACCTGTAGGGGGGTTTAGGAGCCTGGCCTGGGGTCAATAATTATTTGTATTTATAAATGAATGTCATTAATTAGTTGATATTTATATAAAATAACTATCTCAAAGTTTTGTTTATTTCTAATTTATCGTTTTTATCCCATTGAATCCTATACGATTACAAAGAAAATTATGGGGTAACTTTTCTATCCAAATTTGGGGATCTGATACGGTAATTCAGATATGTCAATGTCAGAATTTCATTAAAATTAATATCAAATTCTGTATATCCAAAGCTAAACAGGATACTCTTTTAATATAGTTTTTCAAGTTTTCCCTATATATAATAGTTATTTGGAAAGAAAAAAACATTATATGAATTGCATTCAATTATTTTGAGATAGCTGAGAGGAAATAGAACCGAGTTATTTCATCAGTTGAAGCGTTATTTGGAATTATTTAACTTTTCCTGCCAAGAAAAGTGATAAAGAGTCATAAGAAGAGATTAAGATATACTCATGCAAGACAGAGACCGAAACACGGGAATGATTATATGTTAATGGAACGCCCCATTTCCTTAAGTGAATAGTAATACAAAGATGTAAAGAGAACAGAACTGAAGTGTTTTCACGGTGATGCCTTTTTACCGATTTCCATATACTTTAACAAATTTGTCTAACCCGTATGAAAATCAGCATGACTGAAGTATGTAGACAGATAAATATGGTTTGAATACTGACATTGCCCCCAAAAATATTATTGTATTTCTGTTTAGAGTTATCTGATTACCTTAATAAGAATTCAGATATAAAGGAAACTTCATATCCACTGCATAAATCTTATAAATTTAACATATATAGATTCATATAAATCTGTGTTAGCATTCAACACGTTTTCCTCACATAGGTGTGTTGGATTGTGGTGGTGGGTGGTGGTGGGAGCGGGTGGTGCTGGCGGTGTGGGGGCTGGTGGCGGTGGTGCTGACGCAGAGCTACGCCGGCAACCTCATGGCTCTCCTGGCTGTCAGACACATCTCCCAGCCCTTCCAGTCCCTCCAGGACGTGCTGGACCACCACTCAGTCATCACCATATGGCAGAAAGACACACCGAATGTACAATATTTTCGTGTATGTAAACAAAATCACGCTTTCACCAAATTTTTATTAAGAATTAAGAAATGGAATATTGCATGCGTGATTTTAGTTTGTTATTTCTCTCAATGCAGTTTTTTTTATTTCTGTCTACTTTCTCATTGTAGTTTGTTTTTAAGACAACCTTAAACATGGAAAGCCGTAACTGTCTATGGGGAAGAATGTGTCTGTGTGTGCGAGAATGGAGGCCAGATGCTTCAGGTTAGCCTTATTAAACTTTACAGTATTAATCGTAATTATACTGGGAGTGTCATTAGTGGGTCGGGGTCGGCCCAGGTCTTCCCTGAAGGGGGGCACGGCCCCAATACCCCTTACCTTAGGAAGCTTGAGAATATGAAATGTTATGCATCGATTCCATAGACTTTAGCGTTAGTTGCAATTATAATGAAGTTTTATATTGACCATAAAAACTTATGTTCAGATAGATAACTGGCATTCTGAGTGCAACCATAAGGTAACAATAATGGAGATAGTGTGAATTAAAATGTGGTTAAAGTAATGAGGGACTCAGGAAGGGTCGAGATGGGCGGTCATGTGTATGTTTGAGTATGCAGGGAGGGGGGGGAGGGGTACTCACCTAACTGTACTCACCTAATTGTGCTTGCGGGGATTGAGCTCTGGCTCTTTGCTCCGGCCTCTCAACTGTCAATCAACTGATGTACAGAGTCCTGAGCCTACTGGGCTCTATCATATCTACATTTGAAACTGTGTATGGAGTCAGCCACCACTACATCTCTGCCTAATGTATTCCATCTCTTAACTACTCTGACACTGAAAAAGTTCTTTCTAAAGTCCCTGTGGCTCATTTTGGTACTCAATTTCCACCTGTGTCCCCTTGTTCGTGTTAAACAGTTTATCTTTATCTACCCTGTCAATTCCTCTGAGAATTTTGTAGGTAGTGATCTCCCCTTACTCGTCTGTCTTCCAGTGTCGCGAGGTGCATCTCACGCAGCATTTCCTCGTAACCCATGCCTCTTAGTTCTAGGTATGCCTAGTGGCATACCTCTGAACCTTTTCCAGCTTCGTCTTGTGCTTTACAAGGTCCAGGCTCAATGCTGGGGCCGCATACTCCAGGATTGGTCTTACATAGGCGGTGTACAAGGTTCTGAATGATTCCTTACACAAGTTCCTGAACGCTGTTCTGATGTTAGCCAGCCTCGCATATGTCGCAGATGTAATTCATTTTATGTGGGCTTCAGGAGACAGGTTTGGTGTGATATCAACTCCTAGATCTTTCTCTCTGTCCGTTTCATGAAGTACTTCATCTCTCATTCGGTATCTTCTGTCTAGCATCCTGTTTCCACCGCCTAGTTTCATTACCTTGCATTTACTCGGGTTGCGCTTTAGCAGCCATTTGTTGGACCATTCATTCACTCTGTCTAGGTCATCTTGTAGTCTCCTACTATCATCCTCTGTTTTAATCCTCCTCATAATTTTTGCATCATCAGCAAACAATGAGAGGAACGATTCTATACCCTTCGGGAGATCATTTACATGTATCAGAAACAGTATAGGTCCAAGAACTGAACCCTGCAGGACTCCACTGGTGACGTCTCGCCACTCAGAGACCTCACCCCTCACAGTGACTCATTATCTTCTGTTGCTTAGATACTCCGTTATCCAATGGAGTACCTTCTCTTTAACTCCAGCCTGCATCTCCAGCTTTTTCGCAAGCCACTTGTGTGGTACTGTATCAAAGGCTTTCTGACAATCCAAAAATATGCAGACTGCCCACCCCTCTCTTTCTTGCCTGATTTTTGTTGCTTGGTCATAGAATTCAATTAATCCTGTGAGCAGGACTTGTCATCCCTGAACCTATGTTGATGCTGTGTTACACAGTCCCTTCGCTCTAGATGTTCCACTAGCTTTTTTCACACAATCTTCTCCATCAGCTTGTATGGTATGCAAGTTAGGGACACTGGCTTGTAGTTCAGTGCCTCCGGTCTATCCCCCTTCTTGTATATTGGGACTACATTAGCCGTCTTACACATTTTTGGCAGTTCCCCTGTTAACAGTGATTTGTTATACGCTATGGACAGTGGCAGGCACAGTGCTTCTGCTCCTTCGTTTAGTATAAAGGGGAGATTCTATCAGGGCCTATAGCCTTTGTCACATCCAACTCTTGTAAAAGCTTCGTCACTTCTCCACTGGTAATCTCAAACTCTTCTAGTGGTTCCTGGTTAACTATTCCCTTTCTTATATCTGGAATTTCTCCTTGCTCTAAGGTGAAGACCTCCTGGAATTTCTTATTCAGTTCCTCACACTTCCTTGTCGTTTGTAGTGAATCCTTCTGCCCCTATCGTTAATTTCACTACCTGTTCCTTTACTATTGTTTTTCTCCTGATGTGGCTGTGCAGCAATTTAGGTTGAGTGTTTGCCTTGATGTGATGTCATTTTAGTATTTTCGTTCTGCCTCTCTTCTCAACCTGACGTATTCATTCCAGGCACTCTAGTATTTTTCTCTGCTCTCAAGTATCCTATTATTCCTATAGTTTCTCCATGCCCTTTTACTTTGCTGCTTAGCTAGCCTACAACTCTGATTAAACCATGGGTTTTTCATCTTCATTTCATTGTTTACCTTTTGGACTGGGGACAAACTTGTTTACTGCTTCCTTGCACTTCTGCGTTATGTAGTCCATCATGTTTTGGGCCGTCTGTCCTCTGAGCTCTGTTTCCCATGTTATATCTGTTAGGAATGTTCTTATCTCCTCATAGTTTCCCTTTCGGAATGCCAGCCTTTTGTTTTCAGTACCCCTCCTCGAGTTCAATAACTCTTCTTCAATCAGATACTCAAAACCAAAGTGCACTGTGGTTGGTCATTCCTACTCGGGCCTCAAAACCGATTTCCCTTATGTCGGAGTCGTTCAGAGTGAAGACTAGGTCAAGTCTCGCTGGTTCATCGTTTCCTCTAATCCTAGCGGGTTCTTTGACATGCTGGCTTAGAAAGTTTCTTGTCGCCACCACCATGCTTCCTCTCCATGCTTTCTCTCCTCCATGCGGTTCCCTGTTCTCCCAGTCTATCCTTCCGTGATTAAAGTCCCCCCATGATGAGCAGGTGGGATCTATTTCTACAGGCAGCAGAGGCTGCCCTCTCAATTATAATGTTAACTGCCATGTTGTTGTTGTCATACTCTTGCCTTGGTCTTCTGTCATTTGGTGGAGGGTTGTATATCACTGCTACTGCTACTTTTGTGTGGAGGTGGGGGAGTGTGGAGTGTGAAGATGGGGGCAGGGCTGGCCAGTGTGTGGAGGTGGGGGAGTGTGGAGTGTGAAGATGGGGGTAGGGCTGGCCAGTGTGTGGAGGTGGGGGAGTGTTGAGTGTGGAGACGGGGGCAGGGCTGGCCAGTGTGTGGAGGTGGGGGAGTGTGGAGTGTGGAGACGGGGGCAGTGCTGGCCAGTGTGTGGAGGTGGGGGAGTGTGGAGTGTGGAGACGGGGGCAGTGCTGGCCAGTGTGTGGAGGTGGGGGAGTGTGGAGTGTGGAGACGGGGGCAGTGCTGGCCAGTGTGTGGAGGTGGGGGTTGAGTGGGGAGTGTGGAGACGGGGGCAGTGCTGGCCAGTGTGTGGAGGTGGGGGAGTGTGGAGTGTGGAGACGGGGGCAGTGCTGGCCAGTGTGTGGAGGTGGGGGAGTGTGGAGTGTGGAGACGGGGGCAGTGCTGGCCAGTGTGTGTTTAGGTGGGGTGTGGTGTGTGGAGTGTGTGGTGACAGGAAGGGCAGTGTGCGAAGATGGCGAGGGTGTAGGGACGTAACCGGGGTACTGGGAAAACCTGGGCATTGTATGGTATCCTGTCTTGACAGTCTAAATAATTACATGCCTTACAGTCTTTCTCTCCTAAGGAACATCGCAAGTAACACTTCTGTACTTGTTCTCAGTGAAGACGTTTCCATCTGTTCTTGATACTTATTAGATATGTAAAACAGCTGTGAAATAAGAATGGTATCCTCTCTTAAAATTTGTTAAAGAAAGGGAGTAAAAAATTATGCACATTGTATTCCTCTATAATTTCCCATAAATCTCGATCTATTGTTGAATAGTTAAGAGCCAGTTCTGGGTGGGTGTCTGCTTTTTTATCAGACACACGGTATCACAGGCCACTTAAAATTTTCCCGAAATATCAGCTTTATTGTTTGTAAACACAACTTTAAACAAGAGTGATATATATAATATTGCAGTTGATCTAAAAGACAATATAATGGCATTAGTCATCAGAGAAAGCAGCAGACTGGCCCAGCCAGCATAGCTGGATACTGAGTTCATGAAGCCGCTGCTTTAATAAAGAGATGGCTTACAGACAAGCATTTGAGTCCCTATTAAAATCTGTTTTTTTTTGGCATCAGCTATGTTTTCAGGGTGATTTTGATCCAGAATAGCCACAAAATGTATTGAGGGAATTCTGAGGGTGTATAAATTTCTATAGATTTATAGTACAAAATGTTTATATTTGTTGTACTTTAAATTGTCTTCTTATCGTCCTAATTATATATGTTTGGCCAATATCTGACTCTGGCTGAAGCGGTCAACAACATATTACTCTACCAATATATATCTCCATTCCAATTGTAATCTAGATGTCATTCAGATTTGTGCCAAATAAAATAAGTTTGATTTAGACTGTTTAATCCAGCCATAATTATATTGATTTGTGTAATTTGGTACAAATACACTTTTCATTATTATTTCAAATATTTGAATTCAATTACCGCTGGATACATACACTTATTACTCGTTCAGTTCTCCTTCTTACTATAAAAACAGGTTTAAACTAATATATGTATAATATATGTATCTTAAGCCAAGCTGTAAAATTACATTCCCGTTTGTGTGAAAGATCAATTGTATATGTGTTTAAAACTGCAAACAAGTACGATCCTTTATTAATACATTTGACTGGAGTAATAAAGATGCTTGGTTTGCTATATGCAATTAATAATCAATCAATAAATATATTGTTAAATATTTAGCTGACATATTACCGAATAAGAAGCCGTATAATCAAAGAGGCAAAATGAAACTAAAAAAATTACATAAGGACATTCGTATTAATCAACACATCTTATTAAAATTTATATATCATATTTCTTGGTATGGTTGACTTTATATTAAAAATATAATTGTTACTTGAACAGGAGGTCAAGAGTGGAATATATCGTGAGATTGGAGACCTGGAGAAGAAAGGTCGTCTGGTGTACATAACTCTGCTCCAGCTGGGAGACATCATCAACACTCTGGTCAGGAGAGGAGACCACGTCGTCATGGACGTCGACTTTGGCCTCAAGGCCTACATGTCTCGAGACTTTACTACCTCAGGTATTTTACAGCAGCTGTTGAAAACCATTTTTTAAATAAACTAAATATTATGAATGTATATATATATATATATATATATATATATATATATATATATATATATATATATATATATATATATATATATATATATATATGCAAACAAGCCTGAATGGTCCCCAGGACTATATACAACTGAAAACTCACACCCCAGAAGTGACTCGAACCCATACTGCCAGGAGCAACGCAACTGGTATGTACAGGGACGCCTTAATCCGCTTGACCATCACGACCGGACAAAAGGAAGTGATAGCCGAAACTATTTGAACCACTTCCCCGCCGGCACTCGGATGGTAATCTTGGGCATAGCATTTTATCAAATCACCTCATTCTTTGGGGCACACGTGAGGAACACAAATGCAAACAAGCCTGAATGGTCCCCAGGACTATATACAACTGAAAACTCACACCCCAGAAGTGACTCGAACCCATACTGCCAGGAGCAACGCAACTGGTATGTACAGGGACGCCTTAATCCGCTTGACCATCACGACCGGACAAAAGGAAGTGATAGCCGAAACTATTTGAACCACTTCCCCGCCGGCACTCGGATGGTAATCTTGGGCATAGCATTTTATCAAATCACCTCATTCTTTGGGGCACACGTGAGGAACACAAATGCAAACAAGCCTGAATGGTCCCCAGGACTATATACAACTGAAAACTCACACCCCAGAAGTGACTCGAACCCATACTGCCAGGAGCAACGCAACTGGTATGTACAGGGACGCCTTAATCCGCTTGACCATCACGACCGGACAAAAGGAAGTGATAGCCGAAACTATTTGAACCACTTCCCCGCCGGCACTCGGATGGTAATCTTGGGCATAGCATTTTATCAAATCACCTCATTCTTTGGGGCACACGTGAGGAACACAAATGCAAACAAGCCTGAATGGTCCCCAGGACTATATACAACTGAAAACTCACACCCCAGAAGTGACTCGAACCCATACTGCCAGGAGCAACGCAACTGGTATGTACAGGGACGCCTTAATCCGCTTGACCATCACGACCAGACAAAAGGAAGTGATAGCCGAAACTATTTGAACCACTTCCCCGCCGGCACTCGGATGGTAATCTTGGGCATAGCATTTTATCAAATCACCTCATTCTTTGGGGCACACGTGAGGAACACAAATGCAAACAAGCCTGAATGGTCCCCAGGACTATATACAACTGAAAACTCACACCCCAGAAGTGACTCGAACCCATACTGCCAGGAGCAACGCAACTGGTATGTACAGGGACGCCTTAATCCGCTTGACCATCACGACCGGACAAAAGGAAGTGATAGCCGAAACTATTTGAACCACTTCCCCGCCGGCACTCGGATGGTAATCTTGGGCATAGCATTTTATCAAATCACCTCATTCTTTGGGGCACACGTGAGGAACACAAATGCAAACAAGCCTGAATGGTCCCCAGGACTAGTTTTCAGTTGTATATAGTCCTGGGGACCATTCAGGCTTGTTTGCATTTGTGTTCCTCACGTGTGCCCCAAAGAATGAGGTGATTTGATAAAATGCTATGCCCAAGATTACCATCCGAGTGCCGGCGGGGAAGTGGTTCAAATAGTTTCGGCTATCACTTCCTTTTGTCCGGTCGTGATGGTCAAGCGGATTAAGGCGTCCCTGTACATACCAGTTGCGTTGCTCCTGGCAGTATGGGTTCGAGTCACTTCTGGGGTGTGAGTTTTCAGTTGTATATAGTCCTGGGGACCATTCAGGCTTGTTTGCATTTGTGTTTCTCACGTGTGCCCCAAAGAATGAGCTGATTTGATAAAATGCTATGCCCAAGATTACCATCCGAGTGCCGGCGGGGAAGTGGTTCAAATAGTTTCGGCTATCACTTCCTTTTGTCCGGTCGTGATGGTCAAGCGGATTAAGGCGTCCCTGTACATACCAGTTGCGTTGCTCCTGGCAGTATGGGTTCGAGTCACTTCTGGGGTGTGAGTTTTCAGTTGTATATAGTCCTGGGGACCATTCAGGCTTGTTTGCATTTGTGTTCCTCACGTGTGCCCCAAAGAATGAGGTGATTTGATAAAATGCTATGCCCAAGATTACCATCCGAGTGCCGGCGGGGAAGTGGTTCAAATAGTTTCGGCTATCACTTCCTTTTGTCCGGTCGTGATGGTCAAGCGGATTAAGGCGTCCCTGTACATACCAGTTGCGTTGCTCCTGGCAGTATGGGTTCGAGTCACTTCTGGGGTGTGAGTTTTCAGTTGTATATAGTCCTGGGGACCATTCAGGCTTGTTTGCATTTGTGTTCCTCACGTGTGCCCCAAAGAATGAGGTGATTTGATAAAATGCTATGCCCAAGATTACCATCCGAGTGCCGGCGGGGAAGTGGTTCAAATAGTTTCGGCTATCACTTCCTTTTGTCCGGTCGTGATGGTCAAGCGGATTAAGGCGTCCCTGTACATACCAGTTGCGTTGCTCCTGGCAGTATGGGTTCGAGTCACTTCTGGGGTGTGAGTTTTCAGTTGTATATAGTCCTGGGGACCATTCAGGCTTGTTTGCATTTGTGTTCCTCACGTGTGCCCCAAAGAATGAGGTGATTTGATAAAATGCTATGCCCAAGATTACCATCCGAGTGCCGGCGGGGAAGTGGTTCAAATAGTTTCGGCTATCACTTCCTTTTGTCCGGTCGTGATGGTCAAGCGGATTAAGGCGTCCCTGTACATACCATTTGCGTTGCTCCTGGCAGTATGGGTTCGAGTCACTTCTGGGGTGTGAGTTTTCAGTTATATATATATATAAATATATATATATATATATATATATATATATATATATATATATATATATATATATATATATAACTTTCACGTGAGAATAATTAACACTCACATTTTAGGGATATTGCTTGTATTCGTGCTATAATTTTTTTTTATTTAAAAATATGACGACATTTGTTTTTATCACAGGGCAGTGTTCCTTTTACGTGTCCAGGGAGGAGTTTCTGCCTGTGATGCTTGCTATGGTGGGCCACAAGGGAAGTGCTCTTGTATCAGCGTTAAGCAAGAGGTATACACTCTCAACTGATCTTGCATAACATTGCTGATATAATTGAAGTTTATGGTTTCTAGTGTGAAGAATAATTCAGTTGATCTACATACCAGCGATTGCAAAAAAGTGTATAGATAATGCATGTACAATTATGGAAGTGATAATCATTTAGAACATGTTATCTGTACTTGCAGTGAAGAGGTTCATGACATGCCTAAATATATTACTAAAACAAAAATAGCATTTAACTATCTGTATATTTATAATATTAAGACGAAATTTATTTGTAGTTAATGATTAGGTAATGTATATCTCCACTAGAGCAGGTGGGAACCTACACAACCAGTGTGCAGGTTCGAACTTTAGCACCAAGTGTGCAGATTGGAATCTTCCTCGAGACTACTACTGATTTTCTGAATGCATGTCTAATTTATAAACAAATAAGTAATATATAATGGAGCAAGGAGAAGTTCCCTGCTATACAGAACAGAATAGGAAACATGAATATGAATTTACAGTCCCATGTCGCAATAGTAAATCACTCGCCCGGCGCTTTGCGAGCGCTTTGGCCTGGGTTCGTATCCTGGCCGGGGAGGATTGACTGGGAGCCAATCCATAACTGTAGCATCTGTTTATCCAGCACTGAATGGGTACCTGGTTGTTAAACGATTTGGACGCGTATTTCGGGGAAAATTGGGATTAAGGACCTTCCGGAAACGCTAAGCGTGCTAGTGGCTTTACAAGAATGTAAAAATTCTTGTATATATAAATAACATAACAAAAAAATAAAAAATATATTAAGAATGCTTATGAAGTATTAATACTGATTGTTGTGGTGATGAAGGATACGGAGGATGACTGAGGCCGGTCTCTTCCAGCACTGGATGAAGGGCGCGGAGCCAAACTCCACCTTGTGTCAACACCCTCCCTCAAAAATCATCGTTCAAGCTTATCTTTCACTTAATAATATCTGGGTAATGAAAACGCCTCGTTTTGTTAACAGATAAGTAATGAGTCTTATATTAGAAAATGCTCATGTCTGTAGTTATGATGCTCATTATGTGCTGGTTTGTGCATCTTTTCCTCTAATGGTGATGGCTTTATTATTTCAGGGAGTGTTTGTCATCCTTATTGCTGGTCACACTGTCAGTGTGTGCGTTCTCTGTCTGGAGTTGGTGACTGTCAACATTCAACACGTCTAGACAACTCAGTCTTTTGTAATTTATTGTTTATTTATGCTGTATTTGTACATGGTGACCTAATACAAATGCACAATTGAGTAAAATTATAACTAGTTTAGATTTTACATTTAGCTTGTGAACATTTAAATTAAGTTTGATATTTCAGACTGACCCTCTCAAATTTCTATGGTACGCAAATGAGAAGGTGGATTTTTCTGAGCCAAATGTGCACACCCAAAGATGCCGAACGAGGCGTTCACTCATGTGTACGATATTATGAATAGGGTTATTTCAGACCGGGGTTCCAAGGGGTCGTTATAGCCAGGGAGTGGTAATGGAGTACGAGATTCCATGACCTACAAAAAGCTCCTGTATTGCGTGCGTCTCAAATAGCCTCTGACAACCAAGTCCAATTCCTGGCCTGCACGGGTGGCTTAGTCTTTAAGTCCGGCGAAAATGCTTCTACTGACAGGAGAAAAGGCGAGGGCGTGCCTCTGACGCCTTAAAACCAGCTGCTCCGGGTAGATGGGACTCGATAGCCTGGGAAGGCAACTCATCTAAGGGAAGGAAAACCCTGATCTTAAACCTCCGCTGTCTTGCTGCCATACCCGTCTTCAGGAGTCAATATCGAGTAAAAATCCGGAGGTGGAGCGCGTAAGGCAGTTCGTTGTTCACTTCGACTTCGTTCTGGCAGCGCCTGCGACGGTGCTGGAACCATGTGTATTGGCATTTGCCTTTCCATTGGATAACTTCAGCAACGTGGAGAGGGGGAACCTGCTGCATGGGTAACAGCTTCTCCTCCATATCTACCTATCCAAGCTTTGCGCCCTGGAAAGGACATTTCAGCCTCGCCTCACAGCGTCGAACCAACATGGGAAGTGACATTCTATCAGTTTTAAGTCTTCTACTCGATTAGCAAAGAGTGCGACGCCAGGGGTTGCTTCCGATGGTGAGAGGGGGTCATCATGCCCAACTGGGCAGCCACCGCCTGCCTCAAGCTGGGCAAAATCCAGACAATAATATGTTGCCTCGCCACGGTCCGTTAACCTCACTGGGTGCGTGGGGTTTAGGGTGAAAACCGACAAGCGGCCCAACAACTTTGCATCAAGCAATACCCAACCCAAAAGGAAAATATCAACTGCCCTAAAGCTGGGCACATGGAACGTCAGAACATTGACACCAGGTTTCTCTGACGACCTGTAAGAAATCAACGACGCCCGAAAAACAGCCGTCATCGATAAAGAGCCTGTAAAAGATGGGAGCACTTCAGAAACGCTGTGTTCATCGCTGCCATGTCCACCTTTGGCAAGAAGACTAGCAGGTCGACAGACTGGTTCGAGGCTCACTTGGAAGAAATGACACCTGTTATCGAAGAGAAGAGAAATGCCTTGGCAGCCTACAAAGCCTGCCCAAGTCAGCGCAACTTTCAGATCCTTTGGGCCGTCCGCTGCAAAGTGCAGCAGAGCTCCAGGCGATGTGCCAACAACTATTGGATGCAGCTCTGCTTCCAGATACAGACTGCAGCAGATATAGTCAATGTAAAGGGAATGTATGACGGCATCAAGCAGGCCCTCGGCCCAATCCAGAAGAAGACCGCTCCCCTGAAATCTGCCACAGGCGAGGTGATTCAGGACCAGACACTGCAGCTGAAGTGCTAGGTCGAGCACTCGACACTCTGAGCTATATGCCAGGGAGAATGTGGTCACCGAAGACGCCCTTAGCGCCATTGAGTGTCTGCCTGTGTTAATGGAGCTCGACAGCGAACCAACCCTCGAAGAACTCAGTGAGGCCCTAGACTCCCTTGCTTTTGGCAAAGCTCCTGGAAAAGACACCATTCCTGCTGAGACCTTGAAGTTCTGCAGAGATAGCCTGCTCATGGAGCTGCATGAAATCCTCTGCCTCTGCTGAGAAGAAGAAAAAGAGGTGCCACAGGACATGAGGGATGCCAACATCGTCACGCTGTATAAGAATAAAGGTAACAAGGGCGACTGCAACAATTACCATGGCATCTCCCTCCTCAGTATTGTCGGAAAGCTGTTTGCTTGAGTCACATAGAAGAGGCTCCAAGTACTTGCAGAGAGAATCTATCCAGAATCACAGTGCGGATTCCAAGCTAACAGGTCCACCATCGACATGGTCTTTTCCCTCAGACAACTGCAGGAGAAATGCAGGGAACAGAAGCAGCCACTCTTCGTAGCCTTCATAGATCTGACGAAGGCGTTCGACCTCGTCAGCAGGGATGGCCTGTTCAAGATCCTCCCCAAGATCGGATGCCCACCCAAGCTCCTCAGCATCATTAGATCTTTCCACGAGAACGTGAAGGGCACCATGGTCTTTGATGGCTTAACATCAGACGCCTTCGGCATCCGAAGTGGAGAAAAGCAGAGCTGCGTCCTGGCTCCAACCCTATTTGGGATTTTCTTCGCAGTTATGCTGCAGCACGCCTTCGGATCTGCCACGGAAGGCTTCTACCTCCGAAACAGGTCGGATGCAAAGCTCTATAACTTCGCCAGGCTGAGAGACAAGACAAAGGTTCGGCTGAGGTGTCTGCGCGACTTCCTTTTTGCTGACGATGCAGCAGTAACCGCCCACTCAGCTGAAGACCTCCATCGGCTCATGACCCGCTTCAGTGAGACCTGTCAGGCTTTCGGACTCACCATTAGCCTGAAGAAAACACAGGTCATGGGACAAGGAGTGGACTCCCCACCTGACATTGGCATCTCCGATTACAAGCTGGAAGTCGTTCACGACTTCGTGTACCTGGGCTCCACAATCTCTGACTCCCTCTCTCTTGATACAGAGCTAAACAAACGCATCAGTAAGGCATCTACTACCATGTCCAGACTGACAAGGAGAGTGTGGGCCAACAATAAGTTGACTGAGTATACAAAGATCCAGGTTTACAGAGCCTGTGTCCTGAGCACTCTCCTATATGGCAGTGAGCCTTGGACACTCTGAGGAGAGCTAGAATCACCACCATGTACACAGTGCTGAAGCAGAGACGAATAAGCTGGCTCGGGCACGCGGTGCGAATGGGCGATGGCAGGATCCTGTGAGACACTGGCCGCAGACTATTCAGCCTGGGTGCAGTCTGTTCAGAGAGGTCTCTCCAAGTTCGAGGAGTCACTTGCCAAGAAATCGGATGCAAAGAGACGGAGAAGGATAGCTGGTAGCCAGGAAGACAGACCAGAATCGGACTTCGTTTGTGCTCAGTGTGGGATGGACTGCCACTCTTGGATTGGCCCTATCAGCCACACCAGACGCTGCACCAGGATTGACAACTAGGGCGCAACTCCATAGTCTCCCGAGACTGAAGGATGCCTACTACTATATCAGGCCTGATTACCATTGTGAGGGAGGGCGGAAATGGGATATCCCTGGACAGCTGTTCTCATATGCAGCCTAGAAATGTATGAGGACCAACATACAATGTTGGGTTATGCTAAACCTTATTGGATTTGTGTGTAACCAAAACCACAGCAGTGACTAGCACATTCAAATGCTTTGGGATCACCTCCTCCCTTAACCAGATCGCTATGGAAAAAAATCTACGTGTGACTGTGCTTCAGGAGCTATAGTTATGAGAACTTCTCAAACAAGTGCCCAGAACAAACAGCTAAGTGCACCTTATGCTCAGGCACCCACAACTAGAGGGAATGCATTGCCACCACCTAGAAATGCACAATGTGCGGAGAACGGCACCCCGCCACTTTCTACCTCTACTCAAAACAAAAGGAGGAACTCAAAACAAAATTGAGGAGAAGGAAACTCCACCAACGACCACCCACAGGCCAGTCGCCACTACGCTGGACTTAGGTCCAAACCAGTTTCCGAGCCTGCCTACGACGTCCGTAAAGATTGGACGTCCACACAAGCTTCATCAGCAACACCCTTCAAGGCCAGCAACACCATAAACCATCCAGAATACGTTCCGGTCATCACCGCATAGGTCGGACATAGTTGCGAAGCAAGGTCACAACCTGTTCCACAGAACAGTGAATGGGCTTCTGGAAGTAAAAAGCATTGTACCCGTTCTAATGCAAGGGACAGAGGACGTGGAGATGCAGCCAACGACACTCCACAGACGACGACAACTGCAACTACCCAGACAATGCTGACCAACCCGTCCTCTTAATAGAACGTCGTATTTTGACGTATATTCAAAAGCCAAAAAGCCAAAAAATCCTAAAGCCAAAAATTGTCATACTAGAAAATGGTAGCGACTCGCGAAATTGACATACTGTCCAGTTTTCTGTTTTGGGTCGTCTGGTAGGTTAGGATAAGGGCACTTTAGTACAACAGTTTCTTGACGTTGGGCAACCTTAGGAGGACGGGCTGCGTTGACCGAGTTTGAGAAGGCAATAATGGAACAAGAAGAACTAGCACGAGCGCAAGCACAACCAGACGTAATAAGCACGTGAGCCACCATTGACCTCGACTCCTCACCTGATGAAGACTCGATCAGCGAGCAGGACACCTCGCACATGAACCTAGAAGCCTTGAGGAATGAACTGGTCGAACTTCCTCCCGGCTCCCCAGAGAGCAGAACTCGCTGTTCACTATACTACAAGTGGCTTACCAGAGAGAGTTAATGGAAGCCCCGAACGAGAGCGTAAGAATAAACGCAGAAGGTATTCATGAGTATCTCTTCATAGAAACCCTTAACCCAGCACTCGTAAATAAGAGGTACTATGACCTGTGCCCAGAGGATGCAGTATTCACAAGAAACGCTCTGCCTACTAGTGGCTTTAGGTATTGTATGTACTACCTCTATTTTTAAATCAAACAGAATGTTTGTACTGTAACTCTGCAACTATGTATGTACTTTTCCTAAATAAATTATTATTATTATTATTATTATTATTATTATTATTATTATTATTATTATTATTATTATTATTATTATTATTATTATTATTATTATTATTATTATTATTATTATTATTATAGAAACAAGACCAGCAAAACGAAGAGGACTAAGAAAAAGTAAACACAACGATTTGGACCCTGGAAATAATGTC